AAGACTAGTAAATCTCATAGCATATCAGGAGCTTCAAGTGAAACCACCACTCACACCAATTGACATGAACTTCACTCTGGTAAATGAAGTGTTCATAATCTGACTATAAATAAGAAAATGAGGTATTGAAAGTGAGAGAAAAAATATTTAACACAACTGATCAGAAAAGTACTGCAATGGTACAGTAATGAGTTTGACTTTGAAAATTATAATCCTTGTCATCTCTTCATATATAGTCCTTGCCATTTCTTCTTTATGTCAGACATTGTTGGTTTGTACAAGATAATTTCATAAAACTCAGTACAAAGATTATCTAGAGATACTTCTCTACTTTGGATGAATTTGGAAACTATTCACACACATAATGCGTCTTGCTGAAATCTGCCTTTAACTTGTGCTATAAGGAAGATTTTTATTAAAGTTTTATTTCCAAATCATTAGTTTTGTATAAAGTTGACACAATTGAAAGTTAAAATTTGTTTGTATTTGATTAAATACAAACTTTTCATCACAAATTTAGAGTACATTACACAGAACTCCTTGAAAAATTACCCAAGTATAATATTTTAGATAAGTGACCTGATTCCAAAGCTCCCGTCATGCCAAACTGAAATCATTCAAATTCTGCAAATACTACTTTTAAACTGAATCAATCCAAGGGCCTTAAAAGATTAAACATAGCAATGTATTCTATCAAAATATATACTTACTTTTACAGGCATTTGTCATGTTACCAATTGCAGGCTTCCATGGCAAATCATTGTACAAGTCTTGACACTGTTCACAATTTAAACCTTTGGTATAGTGAGTGCACTGACATTTTCCATAAACCTGTAAAGTCAAACAATGTATTCTTCTCATGATTTCATAAAGTTATAATAAAAATGGACAAAGCAAAAACATTTTACTGAGATTTAAAAAATGTGATACAGATACATAAACATTCCAAATTTTTACAAAGACTCTTTTTACAGAAAAAAAGACAAATCAAGCAAATTTCCTATAATATGAAAAAACAATTTATCATCTTTCACCAACAACCCAAAATCACATATCTCAATGTCAAAATATTTCCGAATATGATATACCAAAATTTTTTAAAGATTAAGAGCTTTATAAGCACAAGTTAAGTTAATGAAGAACAAACACAAATTAAAAAAAATATGAAGTTAATTACTGAACTCGTTTTGACATACCATGTGCATCATTTTTTGCACATGGTACATCGAAACTAGTTGGATAAATAATTTCATATTTTTCTCACAAAGCTCCTAAAGCTGTTAATCTTTACAACACTGTAGATAGCACAAAGTACTACATAACTTGATTATATCACAATTTTGCACTGCAATTTTTTAAGTTCGTCTAACTTCATATAACAGCTTTTCTGTTCTTGTATTCAATCAGTACTGTATATAGTGACTATATTTAATTATATTTATATATAGCAAGTTTATTTTGAGCACGTTGTAATTCTTTACAAATAATAAAATGTGTCCTTGAGAGCATAATAAATACTTTTCCTTAAAAAGGCATAGGAAGTTTATATTTATGCTAAAGTAAAATAAGATATGTAGATTGTATTATGGTAAGGTTTTGTATACTGTAGGTTCTTGTCACTTGTATTTGTGATAATTATAACCTCTCCTTCTTATACCAACTGTATAAACACTTTATCAATGAAAGCACTGTCCAAAGTGAAAGCTTATCAATCTCATGTCATTAAGTCCTCATATAAGACACAAGATGATTTACAACTAAACACAAAGCTAGCTCTGTATCTCTGCCACAAGCATAGATATAAAAAAACGAAGATTTTTCAAATTGAACTGTTTCACAGTTGTAAAATAAAACTACTAAAAGAAGTACAGAGATAATTTTGTAACTTACAAGCTCATCAAAAGAATTAATTTTATGCTAGAAATAGTATGGTTTTTAAATTTATTTTTCAAAACCATCATTCCCTTACAATCTCTTACTCCTTTACCTACAGTTATCACCCTACCAACCAATTTATACTAGCAACCCTTTGAGCCAATACATAATTGAAACAAATAAGTTAACCTTCTATACTTTTGTGACGTTAAATCTGGTGGTAACCTACCAAGATTAATTTAGATTACAGCTTTTAAGTTTACTTATCCAACATTGACTAAACCTTTCTAGTAATCTTCAATGTTTATCAAGTATTTACCTCTAAAATTATTCCCTGTTGGTTATATCACATTATTAACAATGCTCCAGAGAGACACGAAATTTTAAACCACACTTGAAGAAATGTTAGAAACAGTTAGTGAATAACTACTGATTTTCTTACAATCAAACAAGTCATGTATGTAGTTGATTATAGTTCCCCAACAAGGATAAAATACATTAATCATTAATATTAATAATTGCAACAAGCTCAGGAAATGTGTATTAGATGTTAAAGAGAGTCCTGGATAAATGTAAGTTAAGGTAAGTTTTTTTCTCATTCAAGTTATAAAATTTTATGATATTAAATTATCTTTGTCAGTTGTCACTTAAATTATGGGTGAAAGAGATTTTGTATTTAAAGAAATGTAATACCAATATTTAAAATTTTGATCATGTTGTTTTTTTCCTTAGATTTATTTTTGTAAAAGGTGCCTATTACATGTATGTGACAGCTAGAAAGATTCTGTAAGTGAGCATACTTACAATATCAGGCTCTGCAGCTTGTCCACGTTCTGCTACACACTGACTAGCATGGCCATAACAAGAACAACTCCCTCTTACAACCATCTCATAGATAGCATAGTAGTATTTCATTTTAATGTGTTTACTTGAGTCCAGAAGGCTGTCTCCGAGTGTATGGAGTTTAGTAAAGTTAATTCGTAAATTTGTCATTTTTAAAAGATCTTGAACTTCAGGACTGTAAGGATTAGCAACTTCGATGTTCGGAGGTAGAACTTTAAATATTACCTGGCAAATATCATAAAATAGATATATTTTAAAAGAAATTAAGAAAAAAAAGAAACTCGGGACATACCAGAATTTATGACTGAAAATCAAAGTTTTACTTTTGCTCTAATAACTAAAAACATGTAAAAAGTAACATTAATAAATCTAAATGTAATCATAATTTACTTCTTAATTTACTAACTCTACCAATAAATTACATACAATTTTATTTCAAAAAAAGTAAATTTCTTTTACATACTTGCTTTTATTTTGAAAAATGCACACATTTTAGTAAAATTCTATCACTCACTTTAACAAACATTGGTCTTTCAATTATGCACAGATAATGAAAAGTACACAACTGAATAATATCACCCATCCAAAACTAATTCAAAATCTATCTTTATTCAGATGTATTCGGGTAATTTTTGTAAATTTTCATGTAGGTTTTCTGCATGTAGTATGACATTCTTGTTAATCATATACTAAAAAAGTAACAAACAAGTACTAATACTTTAACTCGGGGAAACATTGCATATGCTAACACCTAGTAGCTCATATCATTTCAGCCTTGTATCTCACCTCCTGGTGAGCCCACCCAAAAGAATGGTGCAGATACTTCTATAAATTGATAGGAGTTAGTTTTTTTAATAATTTGTGATCTATGCAGCACTGGACTCTCTAGTATACCAAATTTTAACATTTCTACTTGAAAAAATTAGAATTATTTCTTTGTCCCGTGTGGACATTTCTAAAAAAAAAACTCTCACTCCAGCAGCCAGTATAGGTCAAGAATTATGCAGTTATTATGAATAATGATCTTGTTTATTTGTTCACTTGTATTTGTTTATCCTTTCCTTCACTGTCTGAGTTCAAAATTATGCAGTGGATAAGTTCTTGAATCTGCATTTCACAGATAATTTTAAACTTATCGACCAAAAATAAATGTATCTGAATAATAAATATACACAGCAAGCATCAAAAACGTTTTGTCATATTCAAATATAAAAAAGTAATATAAAAAACCATAGAAATTATTTTATGGGAGAGGGGGGAAGATATACAGTTTTAGAAGAATCAATGATGCCATTTTCCTCAGTAGTTAAAAGTAATAGTTACAAAGAATTAATGTTTGTAAAGCTGAATTAAAAACATTGCAAAATTCATAAAAAATCATAAAATTATTATTAACACAAATAATTATTTGAAAATAATTTTAAACTGTTGTTATACTTTCATATATCATTTTACTTAAAAACATTTTAAAATAAATTTTGGCTGAACTTTTTCATTAGTGTTTATATTTGATTTGAAATATTTTATTATTCAACATTTTTACCTGGTAGTATACAGCTTAACTATTTAATAATTTAATTGTATTAAATTCTGTATATTTCTTGACAGTATTAATGTTACTAGTTCACCTAACAACTAAAAGCTAGTCTTCATCATACACATTATCAAAGAGAAATAAAAACTGTATAGGTTTCACCAATCCTGTTTATTGAAATGACATTAATATTAATTTTCAAACTACCTCATACATTGAAATACTTTGTAGTCTAATTATGCTTCAAACAAATTAGCAAAAAAAAAAAGAGCTGAAATAAGAGTATGTTTGACAATCACAATTTATTCACTAAATATAGTTAAATCAGTTTCATTGACAATATTTTTCTAATTATAACCTGTAAAAAATTATTAACCCTGAAAATCAAAATGGTTGGAGTAAGGACCTGACTGAATCAACTTGTCTGAAAGAGTCAAATTTATCATAAAGAAAGACTTAGGAACAAAATTAACCTTCCAAGTATTAACACAATCTCCAACCTGCAGGAGATACTTCCGATCACTCAGCAGTCCAATTCCTCAATCAGTGTGAAAACAAATTCTCTGACAGTGTATGGTGGGTTAAAGTGTTGATGTACACAACTTCTAAAGAGGTTGCAAAAGTGTTCTCTAGGATTTAGATCAGGATATTTTGTGATAAATCCATGACCAACATGGTTTCTTGTTCAAGGTAATCTATTACAATCAAGCCAGTATGATAAAAGGTATTGTCATCAGGAGGTACAGCTGGGTCCAACATATTATCAAGTAGTAAATCAACACCTCAGAAGAGCAACTGAAATATGGAATACATTCACACTAATGTTTCTTCAAACTGTAACTATATCACCACCAAAAGAGGTCATATTTTCAGTTATATTAAACTAATCATCATTTACTTCTAAGTCTGCAGGTGTGTAATGACGTTACTGCCAATTTTGGTGATCTTAAGAGAAAAATCTAAGTGAGCTCTATACTCAACTGCAGAATTGAAATAGGTCTTCTCATCTTCAAGCTGGACTTCTAAAAACTATATCTTAGTGTTTAGTCCCAAATAATAATTTCAACTGTTGTTACAAAATCGATACTGAATCCAAAGATGGTGAAACAGTGATTTGTAATGGGCATGTTTTCACACAGCAGTAATTACTGGTGCATATTACATGAACTATATAGGGCCTTTTCACTAACGACCTTGATACACAAAAATGAACTACTTCTTACAAGTGTGTTTAACTGGTTTCTAACAAATGAATAACTTTAATAATCTGTATCTCCATTAAAAATCTCTACCTCCCAAAAAGTATGTATCATTACCACTCAATTATACAGAAAAGATAACCAAAACTTAACTTATATCTAAAAGAGCAAGTTACCAATTACCAAGATAAAATGTAGGTACTGTCTTTCCAGAGCAGGTAGCACAAGTAAAATACATTGATATAGCCCTACAGTTTCATAAAAAGGCACATGGAATGTGGACATATCTAACAACATACAAAGTTTGTGTAGTTGTCAAGACTATATTAAGTGTTGAAACCTTCAATTTTTGACCTGATGTATATGTCAGATAAATTTAATTCGCATATTTATATTTAAGTTTTTGGATACTTTTGGTATTCCTTAATGTGCTCATTTTATAGTTATGTACTACAGGTAAATAATTTTAGGAAACAACTTTCAAACCGAACCAATAAAACATCCATTGTTTACGCATTATATTAGTGTGTAATCACGTTGAATACAATACCTACCTCTCCCTCAGTAGATGGAGCAACCCCAGAATATCTATTGTCACAGACTACATCACCCACTCTTTGTCTAGGTCCAAGTGGTATTCCTGGGAAGGATTCAGCACAGTTGTAGGCAAAATACTGGTACACCTGTGCATGGATAAGAAGTTATTGGGACTATTTTATCAAATTTATTGGAAAAAAAACAGTATAATATTTCAGTATGTCCAATATTTTTGCATGCACAATTTAATCTAATGCTACTTATGGGGGGCTGAAATAATACCTTTCGCACAAAAAATCTAGGCCTTAAAATAAAATTTTCAAAAATGACTGTTGCATGTTGAGCCACTGGAATTACAAAGAGAAGGCAAGCAGCACATAAGTGGACAACCCTTGCTTCAACCTGAATAGGGACAAAAATGCAACAAACTGAACTCAAAATTACAGGACCTGTCACGCTTCACTCAACCTGAAGGAACAGAGATTACCCAGACTGGGATTATGAACCAAAATCCTAACTCCTCAACCTGAGAGGCAGGGTAACATTTCCTGCCCCCGAAATTACAAGGATGATGGGGAACAAACAAAGTTGAACCCATGGCACAGGAAATGATGCTCCGCAAGCGGAATTACAAAGAGTCAAGGACTCTCTTCCATGATCATCAAAATAAAGAGAAAGACCAAAAAGAGGAGCCACACACTACTCAACCTGATAGCAAAGAGTCATCTCTGAACCAGAATTACGAGGAGGCTTCTATGTACGCTGATCTGGTTCTGCTCCAACCATAGGCAAAATCCTCTTAAACTTTAATCATGATAGTCCATGAGTGGTGTTTCAGCATTATGTTTGTTTTTGTGTTATAATTGTGTACCATTCAGAAAGCACACAAGGTGATCTTATGTAACACCCCATTTCAACAGAGCTCATTGCTACAAAGAAAATTATTGATTGATGGACTGGTAGCTAGTGCAGATTTGGAAATAAAAATACCTAACCAGGCAACACCCACCATGGAGTGGGATTCTAATGAAAGTGATGAGAGGGTCCCAGAAGAAATGAAAAGAAATATGCATAAAAAAATGACGTCACACACCACTTTTACAAATGAGCCAGGCCATGGAGAACTGTCACGAGGGTAGCAAAAACCTTCAGAGCAGAAGATCCTGAATGGCTTATGCCCAACATATGGGTGTAAGACAGTCCTTGGGGAAGGGAAAGGCAACCAGTATGGAAGACAATGGAGGAGAAGATGTTAGATGAATGACCAGCCCTCTTGTAAGAACCTGAATGACCCATTGATTGGTGGTGGTTTCCCAGACAAACAGGAACTGTCTTAGTCGAGCCCTACCAGGAATGGACCCATAGGGTAGTCACTGAAGCTGTTGTCAGTGCTCCACATGAGCAGAGGTTGCCAGCTGATAGTGGTGGAATCTCCCTTGTGATCCAATAGAACGTGTAGTCAACACAGGAGGTTTAGAACCTTGAACTGGAGATGCAATAAACCATCTGGCAGAAGACTAGGAAAGATGGGAGGCCAGTGTCAAAAGAGAAGAGCCCACATCCACCTGAGATTCCATGGAATATGGAATACCTGCAAAAATCAATTGTCTGAGAAAAGGAACATCTCTGAGATCTCTAAGGGCTAAAGAAGGAAGTCAAACACTCTCAAGCAAGGCATCTCTCTCCAAAATATCCCAGCAATTAACCAACCAAGAGACCAAGGAGAGAGCAGAAACAGATAACTTAACCAAAGCGAAAGCCAATAAGTGACTAAGATCCTTTGAAACTTGAGCAGGAGACCTGTGAAAGGCCACAGACAGCAGTTGCAAAGAAGATAAAAAATGCAAAACTGTTGTAAGGAACAGTCGAATCCAGGAAAACTGAGTTAGGTTAAGATGAATAGAGGCATCAGGCCTAGAACCTCAAATAGGAAAAAGAGGATCTAACCTCTGAGAATCTAAATATGGGTCCTCCAAGCGATGGAAAACTAAGGCATGCAGATCCAATAAATGGGGAAGACAAGGCATGGTAGCACATTCTCCCAATTGATCCACAAGTTTCCGAACAGGCACAGCAATGTCTGGCAAAGGTGGAAAGACTAGGTAATCAGTCAAATGACTTTCCCCCAACAAAGTAGAAGAACAGTCATAAGCCACAGGAGAAATGTTCAAGACATTACAAACTTGATGTACTAGTTGCAAAAATGGTGCAGCAGGTGGGATGTCCATCTGAGGCTAGTGATTAGGTGTCTGAGCAAAGGAAGGAGCCTGAAAAATTCTCCCCCTGTCTGTATCTGATCCCCAATAAGCTCAGCCTCTGAGCCCATAGGAGAAGAAATATCAGACCTGATGTAAGACTCCACCTCTCTGCATATGACATTGGCCATGTTCCGCCGAATGTGGACCTCCCCTCCGACGTCCAAGCAACACTAGACTCCAGAGGTGGCAGATTAGGAACACTAGGAGACTCTGTATCAGAGATGTGAATGTGAAAATTAACATCTGAAACATCTCAGAATTCGTTTTTTTTGTGCGTGTGTATGGAAGTTAAAGAAAATAGACGATAAACTCAAAAGTCAATACAACAGGTTGAGAAAAAAAAAATCATTCAAAGCTTAGGTATAACTAAAGTTATACAACCCTTAAGAGAAACCAGTATCAATCATGTAAAACCATCGTCATAACGTTCTGCCATCGAGAAATTTGAATAGGAAGTAATAATGGGGAGCTTATATACAGATCTGGTATAGGGGGTGGATTGACAGAAGTGGAGAGAATCACAAGATTTAAATCACTTTGAACAATATAGTGGGGAAAAAGGCTGGAGCCAGCAAGATAAGATTCATACCAGTGATTAAATGGAGGTGTGTTTCAAAATTACTAGCTAGTTAAACAATTACTAGAAAAACAACAAGTGTGACGTTAAATACCTCGTGCAATTTTTTCTAACAGTATGAATGATATTTCACTTTTTGGAGTAACTTAAGTGATTAAATTCAGGGTTTTTCTCTTTTTTTACTACTTTACTGAACAAAACTATCATTAGCAAGTAGAAAAATTGGTTAGTCTGTTGGTTTTTATATTAAACTCATCACTATCATCTAACTACGTTTTACACTTTAACAAATGCTTAAAAATATACAGGAGCAATTATTTAATGGGTGAAAACTGGCAAGAGTTTTGTCTGTGTTTCTAGAATTTGAAGTCAATGATGGCTAATTAGTTTGATTAAAAAACAACAGTGGCTCAAACCTAGTATATTAAGTTACTTTTCTTGTTCATTTCTACCATTATGTGATTTGACTAACTTTCCATTTATAATTATACCTTGTAGAAGACACCAATCTCTGAGAAGAATTGTTGTGCTCAAGTATTCTCATAAAACAAAAAGAATGGAAAAAGTTCAGATAAAACTAGTTTTCCATACATACTTTCCATGTTCTTCCAAAGTCATGAGACCTTTCAATAAGCATGGCAGCAGGTCTAAATGTTTTAAACAATATGATGAGATGAGTGAAATGGAATTCTGCCTCCAGGTCCAGCTGGATAGTCACATCTTCCTTGCCATTTTCTGCTTGCCACCATTTCAAACGGGTGCCACCAATCCTATTTAATTAAATTAAAAACTTAAATTTATCATTATTATTTTATAATAGTGTTTTTATCAATAATAAAAACTTAAATTATTTAATGAAGAATAATTTTTAGAACTAAAGAATAATTTTAAACTTGCTTACAAAACTGTGACATAAAAAAAAAGATATCTAGATAAAAAAAAAGTGGAATACAAATAAAATAATCATTACCTAGAAACTATATTTTCAATCTCATGAGACTTTCTACGACGTCGTGAATCACAAATAAAGCACTTTTTTCTTTCTTTCAAATGACTAACAATGCAAAATCGTTCTTTTCTCTTTTTTCCACATGTTGAAGACGCCTTTAAGTATTTCTCTCGGCCAATCAGCAAGTTTCCCACAGCTGGATAGCAACTCGATTTGTGGCAGGCACGTGGATGTGACCTTTCCTGATGATAAATCCCTGTATAACAAAACAAAGTTTTCTCAACATAAAATTGTTTCTTAACATACACTACGTATAAATTATCCTTAAAACTCTGTTTTGCTCACAAGTATTTTACTTAGTCCACAACAATACATTTATTATGAACTATAAATTACTGTCTATTCCTAATTTAATACTGACATCTAAAATAAAGGTGATAATCAACTCAAACAAAACATAGCTTATTATTCTATACATTTATATAATAAGTATGAATTAATTCACACTGAAAGAACCATCACATCATCAGGTAAATTAATTACAGTACAAGATTAAAATTCTTTAAGAGAAATGATTTTGTCTAAAAACAAGAGTAGGCCTGGGCTTCTAAAGGTTTTCTTTACTTTTTACACTTGATAATTAACTCTTCTAATTTTATTCTAGCATTGAGAGGAAAAAGACATAGCCTCATTTATATCTGGGTGAACACAAGAAAAACTTCCAATTTATTGTATTTCCTTATTTTGGAATTAAACCAAATTTAAGGCCTATGTCATGCCAAACAAATTCTCTATTAACTAAGCTAAAGAGTTAATTTTCCAGCTGTTATTAGTAATTCACTCTTGAACAACTCAAACTACCATACATCACAATTAACACTAGGCTAAAAATTTCAAGCTTCAGTAGTCTCACCAATGTTTTAACACAACAGACACTTGCTTACTACTTTTCAGGTCTCTCTAAACTAAAAACTATTCTTTAATTACAACTACTACTTTGATTTCTACCATCAAGATGATTTTCCATCAACTTAAAACTATTCCCCAATGTCATATAGGCATTTCTGTGCAACACCTCATCAAACACTTTCAAAAAGTATCATACACAAGCTCAACTAGTGTTCTCATCTATAACAGCTGCAACCTTATTAATAATTTGATATAACAATAAAGTAAAAATTATCTACAGAACATCCTGATAATGTTATTTCTAATTATTAAAAGTATGTTTCAAATGCTGTTGAAAAGAAAGTGAATTAGCTCATGGTTTGAAATTTAGTATTCCTAATAAACTTAAGTTTGATTATTTTGCATAGTTTGAACAATTTGTGATGTATATATCTGATCAATCATTTAGTAATATTAGATCTCAAATTAGAAGTACAGCTCCTACTGCTTTTCAATAACTATAATTGTGAATAGAACAATTTCATCAACTTAAGTCCTGAAGAACTTACATCTTTAAAATTGTCAAGTAAAAATGAGAGTATCGTGATTTCTAAGTGTAGTAGCTTTGTAATACTTGATAAAAATGGTTATTTAAAGAAAGCTGAGAATATTTTAAGTGACTCCTACTAAATTTGTGAAATTGCATAATGATCTTACTGATAAAAGAGAAGCTAAATTGCAAAGTTATTTACCAGAATTAGAATTGAAAAAAGATAACATTCTATATGAAAGACAGTATTTGAATATTAGACATTCAGGTAGTCACCCAGGAACTTTCTATGGTTTATTTAGAATTCATAGAGAAGAAAGAGTTCCACTACAACCTGTTGTTTCCAGCTTTAGAACTTACAATTATGCCTTAGCATAGTAATAGTAATGTGCACTGAGCTAGTTTTGATGTTGAATAATTATATACAAATATACCATTGGAAGAAACCATACAGTTAAGAGTCAACTTGATTTACAATGATGTTTCCAACAATGTGACCATTCCTAAATCAGTTTTTCCAAAGTTCACTAACTTTGGAATTAAAAAATCTCATTTTCTCCAGAATGGAAAGCTTTATGATAGGCTATGGTGTTGTCTTGGTTTTGAGGTTGGCACCATCTTTAGCCAATCTTTTTTTGTGTTTTTAAAAAACCTTATATCAAAAAGAAAACTATACTAATTAAATATGTTAAAAGAGCACTTCCTAAAATATAATTAAGAATGTTTCGTTAACTGCCAGCTAAGAAGATTTTTTATTTTGTATGACTTTTAACGACAGATTCCAACACCTTGATCAAACGAGTCATAATAATGCTAATCAGCCTAATGGGTCTAAAATTTACCAGGTTTCATTGATTCATTCCTTTCAAATTTAATTTAAGGACCATAAACTGCAATCTCGCACAACCATCCAAAATATTTCCAAGTGTTGAAGAACTTGTGAATAATAAAGCTAAAAAAAAGCAAAAAACCTTTCCCCATCTCCAGATACCCTTTCTTTTAGTTTCAGTAGTAAAAACACTAAAACTAGTAAAACTAAAAGAAAAAAAGAAAACAAACACATAACTGTTAAACGATTAGCCCATGTTTAGTTCAGCCATGTCATCGTTTCAAACTTTTGAAGCTCAAATATTCATTTATTCTCATTGTCCAATTCCCCAAGAATTAAATAACGTTTACCAATTTTCCTATGAAGTTTGATCACAATATTTTGACTTCCCACTACCTACAAACCTAATGAAATTTCGGCCTCGCTATCTGGCAGCTGGTTTCATAGATCTTTCCATACCGCCTATTAACTACAAACATATTATATGTTAGGAATTTCGGTGACGAGGAACCCACTTTGAGACTAATAATGGATGGAGACAGCTTGAATGGGTAATGAAGAAAAACTTTAATATAAGTTTAACATAACAGCAAATGTACGACGTTTCGACAAA